AAGTTTTTCTGCACTAACTGAAAAAGAGAAGAAATTGTTAATATGGTAAGTTCGGTAACTGCTCAAAATTATCAACTAATTATTGCTAAAGTGCAATAATCAGTTATTCTGCCGATTAACTAGCAATGCGAAGATTAAATACTAAGATGGTCTATTAAAATGCCGAAAATCTTTTTTTTTTCGCAAATTATGTAGGTAATCCAGGGTGCATAGCGTTTTTAAAAAGTGCTTAAAGGTGCTTATTTTCGTTATTTAAAAAGACCGTAAATGTGCTTTTTTCATTGGGTGTTTTTAAAAAGTGCTCAATTTTCCTTTTTCCAAAATGAGATTTTTTTCTTTACCCTGTCAATTTTCGCCACTTATTATGCAAAAGCGTGATTTTCTCAATGTTCTATTCTACGTGATTTAAAAATTGGGATTCGCATTCAAGCGATTTAAAAATTATGCATCGTGATTCGTACTTACGCGATCTAAAAGTTACGCATCGTGATTTGTATTTTCACATTTTTGAAATCCAATATCGAGTTTTATAATATCAATATCGAGTATTCACGTGATTTAAAAGCAAACTATCGGGATTCATATTCTCCCAATTTAAAATCAAACATTGCAATACTTATTCACACGATTTTTAAAATCATGCATATGATTCATATTTATGTGATTCAACTCATATTTATGTGAATCTACATAACACCTATCTGACATTCGTTTATCTGTACATTACCCACTAGACTCTCATTAAGGAGAAAATAAGATATTTTCTGGAACAAAACGTTCCTGCGTGCATAAATTAATATAAAAATGTTATTTATTTCTAATATCTCAAGAACCAAGTTAATAACAATAAACACATTAGGTAATAGAATCAATTAATCAAAAAATTACAAAGAAATCAGACGGTTCAAAATATTACTGCAACTATGGAAGTAAACATCTTCATTTTTCGCTCCAGAAAAATTTGTTTTACCTAACTTTGTTTTACTAAACAGTAGGGAGAAAAAGTTNAAAAAAAATTTTTCCATCGAATTTTTTTCTGGAATGAGGCTACTCTGTAAATGTATTAGCAGTAAAAGAAGGACTATCTACTCATAGCATTTGATTTCCGATTAAATTGTAATTACTGAGTAAAAGGTATTTATAATTTCATTATTATAGATTTTAAATAATTTTTAAATGACAGAAAATATGCCAATTTTGTCATGATAGGTTCTTCATGTGGTATTGTGAATAATGAAGTGCAGATGTCGGAGATGGAAGAGAAAACAATAACGTGTCGGGTGTGATACTTACTGGGTGAAATTTCAGTGTCACTGTGCCGCAAGTCACTTGGAGATGATCCAGATTCTTTGATGATGGACATTTGGCGATCAGATCTTGGCGTGATATTGTGGTCCTAAGGAATATGAATTATTACTCAAATGCATAGTAATTAATACAGTAATTTTGAAAAAAGAAATATATATCTGGTTCAACTTACTGTTTGATTTATAGATGGTGTACTTAATGATTTATCTGAAAAAGAAAAAAATATATACGTTAATGTGTACAAGGATCCGTAACAAATTGTAAAGACCGTCAAATATTTCGAGAACTATGCATCAAATCAAAACTCTGAAAGCACATGTGTGAGATATTTTTCTTTTTTCAATAGTGTTTTGTTAGATTTTGATAAATTTTTTCCTCATCTGAATATTAATTCGAGACTTCTATGACTGCGCTTCCCAGTTTTTTTCCCCGCTATCGAACCCTAAATGATCGAAATTTTGGCGGAACCCCGGCGATATAAAAAAATAAAAAATTTTATTAGCCATTTTCAATATAATAACCAAAAATAGAATTAAAATATTATTTTTAAAAATATTTAATGTGAAAAAGTGTTATAATTATTATGAAAATATTTAACGAACGTGAAAAAGACTACTAATTACGATGAAAATATTTAATATGGAAGAGACTAGTAATTTTTTTTAAAATATTTAATATGAAAAAGACCACTGATTACGTTGAAAATATTTAATATGGAAAAGACTAGTAATTATTTTGAAACTATTTAATCTGAAAAAAAATTACTAAGTATGTTGAAAATATGTAATATGAAAAAGACTACTGATTACGTTAAAAATATTAAAAGACTAGTCATTATTTTGAAAATATTTAATATGAAAAAGAAAAAAAAAACAATTTTGCTGAAAATATTTAACAGGAAAAAGACTACTGATTACGTTTAAAATAGCAATCTTTGAACAGCCGACTCAATTTTGAGTTTACCACTACCAATATTCAACTCCGTAGCTTTGCAATTTTGAATCATTCTAGAAAACAGGAGGACTCCTGAGAACGTAACTAGATCGTAAACTAGACCGAATCTAGGCTTAATCGTAAACTAGACCGAAAACGTTGTAAACGGAGTATGTTTGATCCTAAGTCCTGTTCTCAAAAACATTTCTATCTTTTTTTGGAAGAGAAAGCACTTTTAGTTCATTTACGCTGAATCAGGTGCTAATATTACACTTGCGAGATTGATGTAGAGTGATTCATCAATGCACAGTTTTAGTAGAGTTGCATAGACTGAGTGATACTTACTTCTGCTGGTACCAAGGCGCGGGGAAGGCTTGTAGTCGTGCAGATTTCCGTCCGAGTGTGCTCTGAAGATGGGAATACTGGACCTACGGACTCCTCCTCTCTTCCCGTCCGCAGTCTGCCTGAGGATAAAGATAACAACTCTCTATAGTCACTGGAACAACACTTTTTTTTTCATTTAAAAATTACACAAATGTAAATCTTAAGCAAAGACTTTTCATCTTGAATTACTGGTATCAATAATAAATCAGCAAGAGTAAAGCGGGGGGAAATAAAAATATACATTTAATTTAGTTCTGATCAAGAAACAAGAAAATTTATTCTGACCTAGTCTTGAAATCAGTTACCATGATAATCAATAGATGGCGCTACTTATTTAAAAACATTCCACAATTTACAAAATAACTACTATTTACAGCAGCAATGGTGATATGAAATAAAAATGACAGACGTTAGTGAAAGAGCAGTTGTGGCTCACGGGATAGAGCGTTCACCTTCCAATGGGGGGTACCTAGTTCGAATCCCAGCGATGGCTGTTCGATACTAATTCAGCACCATGCTTGCACTGACAAAAGTGCTACCGTAAAATATCAGTGGTAGACGGATTATGGGCTGGAACCCCCGTTGCCGTTAGGCTAACCGTGGGAGGTTTTCCTTTCCATGTAACGTAAATGCGGGTTAGTTCCCTCAAAAAGTCCACCACGAAGGCAAATTTCTCCCAATATTTGATCCAGGAGTTCCCTTGTCTTCTGGATTGGGTACAAAATTACAAGGTTATGAAGTTGAACATTAGTGCTGCCGTGCAATTGAAAAAAAAAACGCAAGTGCTTGATTGATTCTGTGAAAAGTGACTTGACAACTTTTATCCTTCTATTGCTCATGCTATGAACGCTAAAATAGAATTTCAAAAATCTGATAAAACAAAACAAAAAATTATAACGTTGATTTTTCAATTACACGGCAAAGTACTCGTAAACCCGAAATTCGGTTGGCTGTTCAACTACGATTATAAGATGTAAGACGCTATAGAAAATATTTCAGTTGAAATGGTCGGAAAGACAGCAGATTTTTTTC